GGCAAATCCATAGCTTTATATTGCCATAGTTTTAAATTTGTCATTTTTACAAACACCTCATAAAATTTCTGTTATAGATGTTAGTTTTGACGTGCCACCCCTGGTTTTTCAGAGACCACCCCTGAAAAAAATTTGTGCAGGCACCACTGACTAGAGTTCCTTCGCAATTTCTGTGATGTAATGTCACAAAAAATAGAGAAAACTGAACAGGTTGAAAAATATGATCCAAACAGAATATAAAGATATCCACGCAGCACCGGCAGAGACTAAATTCAAATTTTCTGCACCCCCTAGAGACTCCAAGTACCTAACAAAATGTATTTAAAGGATAAAGTGGATTTTAAATGATATATCCCCTTTAAAACTCTCCAGCAAGCTGAAATAACCCAAGTGACACACTTATCAGGTATGTTTTTTTAAACTTTGGAAAGCTCCCCCAGGAGCCACAGTAGAAGCTGCACAACTGTTGTCACAGGTTGGCATTTCTTTTGATGACTTAAACGTGGGATTTTAACCCGTGTTTGATTTGCACGTGAGCAGATGCACATGCATATGCATGCTTTTGCACAGGAATCTCTATGTGCGCAGACTTAACCAGTAACTCTCTCAGGTGATTTGTTCCTCCAGTCCTGCGCGTTACACACGTGTGTTTCACCGGCGTTCTGCATAAACCAGCAATGACTTCTTAAGTTAAAAGCCACTTCGGCCATATATTTCCACCATTTAACAGTTCATTTCTTTTTCTACTTAGAAAAGTTTCCGCTTCAGTTTAATWATCCCCCAAAGTCATAAAGCGTTCTATCCATGTCCTCGACAGCAGCCAGCAGCTCTCGTTCCTCTCTGTTCACCCAGAGGAGGCCGCTGACGGCCACACAACCGCCATCTTGCAGGGATTTTTCTTAATCACCTACTCTGGCTGAACTCCTCTTCTATTCCCKTCTCTGTTTCCAGAGGTTGAAGCAGAGCAAACACTAAAATAAAAGTATCAGCTGTYACACGCCCATGCAGTGGTGGGCAGCGCTAATCCAAAAAATTACCTCCGCAACTTCAAAAGCGCTTATGCCATAGGAAAATTAGCGGAAGCTAATTTTAAAGCMCAAGTTCAGTTTGACACTTACTAGCTGGCAATAATTCATGWAYAATATATGTACAACACTGCCAACTAGYGGTGTGTGAACCATTTTACAGCTTAATCCTACAACCGCCGATTGCTGGGGATGTGATTTCCTGAAACAGACCTTTAGCTCCTGGTGTAAAAATTRAAAAGTTGTTGAGGATTGCTAGTTCGGCTGCTTCTTTGTCTTTTTCTTTTGTTTTTGTAGTTTTTTCATTAAAGAAGCATCAATAAAGTAATTTTAAAACTGTTTATTGGAAAACTGAAATGATGCATTCTAGGGCTGTGTATTGGCAAGAATTTGGCGATACGATACATATCATGAC